TATATATATATATATATATATATATATATATATATATACGACCAAAGTTGTTTTTTATGTAAGGAGTCAACCAGTTAGATTGTTTTTTGAACGCTTCAAATTACATAGTTTATACAAATTTAACATTTTCTATTGTAAATATTATTAAATCACCATGACTGAATTACATCTTTTTTTCTAGACTGTTGGAAAGAACAATAAAATGCTGCAACACATAAATTACAGAGTTCGTATTATTTTACAAGATTCTCGAATATTCATTGGTACGTTTAAAGCTTTCGATAAGCATATGAATCTTATACTCGGTGATTGTGAAGAATTTAGAAAAATTAAACCAAAAAATACCAAACAACCAGAAAGAGAAGAAAAAAGAGTCCTTGGATTCGTCTTGCTGCGGGGAGAAAATATAGTATCCTTAACAGTTGAAGGTCCTCCACCACCTGAAGAAGGTCTACCAAGAGTGCCAATCCCTGGTGCAGCCTCGGGTACTGGAGCTGGTCGCGCTGCTGGTCGTGGTATACCTACTAATATATCTGGTGTTCCAACTGGTCTTCAAGGCCCAGTGAGAGGTATAGGAGGACCCTCACAACAGATCATGACACCTGGTATCAGAGGGCAAGTATCTGCACCACCTCAAATGCACCCTGGAACAGGATCTAGAATCTCTGTTCCTGGAGCACCGCCCCCAATGTTGGGACCACCAATGATGGGTAAGACATTTACTTCAATTCAAATCTACTTCAATGAAACAAAACATTATTTTAACCCCAATAACCCAATAATCCCAATGTTTTGCACCATAGGCGCAAAGTTTTTGCGCCCTTTAATCACGTTGCGCCCACAGGCTGTAAAGTATTTTCTGACCATCTCGGATGCAAAGTGATTTGTGGGCGCAAATTACGACTTTGCGCCCTTGGAAAAAAACGTTGTACTCATCTTGGACACAAACATATGAAAACTCCGCCCTTCAGACAAGATTTTTTCATTGAGGACCCATGGTACGAAATTGTAGTTTTTTTTCTTGTCTGGTGGCGCATGTCCCTTCGGCAAGCACCAGGCCTGAGAGACCTGCGGAACAGTCTGAGAGACTCCTTGTGTTTGCCCTGGTTGGATGCGCACCAGGTGCAAACTTTTTTTTTTTACTAAGGGCGCAGTGGACGTTTAAAGGTAAAAATACCTCTTAAGTAGAAAAACGACTATTTTTTACTATTTTATGGTTATCCCTTCTATTGCCCAATTTTTGTCTTTTCCCCAATGTAGAAGTAATTCTTGGAAGCTCCAAATGCGAAATTTCCCTTAGACGATACGTTCATCCATCGTAGAAGGTACCACTCATAAATCACAGTGATCGTCTTAAGCACACTTCGGCCGACATCAGGTTTTAAAACTGATAGCGATTTTACCAACATGTTGAAAAATTACTGTGTCATAAATGAATGAAGCCGCTACAGATTTAGAAGATAATGTCTAGAAGAACACTTGAGTTGCCTTGAGTTTCTCTCAATAATAAGCTAGCGAGCTAACAACCACGTAATCAAAGCTCTCATCAACTGAAGTACAAGGGAGTCGCTGGACTTGAACTTGCTTGAGTATATACATAATATGTAAGGTGCATTATAGTTAACTTGAAGGACTATTATTGTTTATCTAAAAGTTAAAGAAAATCAAAAAAATTTAGTAAAGGTGATCATTAAGTGTATAGAGTGGTAGATTGAATATTTTCAATATTGATTTTTAAGCATTTTTAAAGTGGTTGTAAAATAAATGTAGTCTAAAATACATGCATTCATAAAATGTTTTATTTTAGTAACAACAAACATGTATAAGTAGAGTATATGTACAAGTAAAGTAAATTTTTAATTATTATTTCTTAATTTAATTCCCAAAAAAAGAAGAAAAAACTATCCACCAGTGTTGAGCTCATGACTTCCTCCGTATCAGCCGAGCACAATATTCACTTCACCATAAGCTACAACTGATGGAATAATTACAACACCTTTTTCACGTTTCTTATAGCTTGGTGCAAATTTATTTTACATTGAATTTTTTCGTTTACTGTTTATTAATTCATTTGTTTTTCAATACATCATTCACTCTATACATTCATAAATTATGTACACAATAAAATAATTTTTTTCGAAACTGGAAAAATGTTTTTAGTAACAGGTATTCCATATATTGTGTAATAATATTTATTCAGTTTTTATCAACTTGTTACTTACGAAACAAATAATCAATTATTAAACATCTCTTTCTTACAATTATACAAACCTTTCATTATAAAAGTGATTTTTCGTTTATTTTTTTTTCAATTTATAATGTGGTCGTTATGCACGCCACTAAGAATGCTTGTACGCAACCCATGGGTAAGCGTATGTGACAGATGACAGTGTAACGTTAGATGTTATTAGCCTAGAAAACTGTTTTGGGTATGTTAATCTTATAGATTTTTATTCATTCACCATTCAAATATTTATTAAAACTACACCTAATTACCGAGTATCTTTATTCCAAGCATAATTGCATCACCTTCGATACATCGCAGAGGGTTGTTAAATATATCGTTTCGTAAAAGGTATATCTAAATTCATACATTATCTGCGATAGAAGTATAACTTTATACTTTACTACCTCAGCACCCACTGACCACCAATTTTTTTTTTTTTGAAGATCTTCATGACCCCTGAAAAAGAATCAGGATTTGGTTGTCTAATTTTTTGACTTTGGTTTCATTGATTGACAGAGATTAGCTAGAGATACGAGAGCGAGAGTACCAGGCCAACGAGACCGAAAGACACGCGTGACTTCTCTTACATATGAAAAGTTCTAATAAAGTAACTTAACCACAAGCCGCGTCTTTATTTATTTACAAATCAAGAAACCCACGTAACAGCTGGTGTCAAAAGTGAGATACAAACAAATTTTTTTTAAGTTTTGTTTCGCATGCAGAAAATGTTTAATTCCGCGAAACAAGATAATTTTTTTTTGCTTGTGAATATAGTAGAAAAAAAAGAAACATCGTTCAAAGCAAAGTGCAAAAAATATGTGAAAAGTGCCAGATGCCAAATTCAGTGTATCTCTTCATAATATAAGGAAACCAAATAAAGCGTAGAACAGAAGAAAAAAATTATCTGGCAAAAAGCTCAACACTGCTAGAAGACCAGATCAACAATAAAAGGGAATAATTTGAAAATCAAGCCAGCGAACTAATAAACCAGGACGCTAGAGGCAGCTGCCAATCACTGTACTCAAAGAAATACGGAAAAAAGAGGGCGATCAACACAATCGATATTAAGGACAGGAGCTTTACGAAAATGTAGATCAGTGTAGCTTTATTAATCATCTTGGCAGGAATGACTTGGTAAGTAAAAACTACAGAATATAAAATATTTGTTTCATTATAACTCTCTCACTCTTAAGAAAAACTAAAGGAAGAGGCACTTCTTCAATCGATTTAGAGAAAAGACCCATCATAAAAAATACAATTTACAGATTAAATTTTTATCTAATATATTCTATTAATCAATAGATAATAATAACACTTACCGAGTAATAATCATAAGATCTTGAGTCAATCTTATACGATACAAATGCTAAAGCCAACTCCGATTTACAAAAAAAGACCCGAGTCAGCTTCCAAGCAAAGAGTAGGTTTAATACTTAACCGGAAAAAAAGACCGTTTATTTTCTTCTTACAAGCAAGGCTTCGGGCGATATGTTATACAAGAACCTATTTCACTTACAACATCATACAAGAATTTGATATGAATAGAGCACAAAGCGCAGAATTTCAAGAACAATTGAATCAAAGAAATTAGGAAGAAAATGTCCAGAATAACCTAACAAAAAATTAAATAATACAAACGATGCTGGAGCACGATCCAGAGTCGTTGGCTAAATGGGAGAAAACTGACAAAAAACAGAAACTTTTTGTGATGAAAATGCTAAGAAAATTAACGCCAAATATAAAACGCAGTTATCTCAGAGACAAGACCTAAGCGATAAAGGAGATGATATGCCACCCCAGACAGAAACACATAGATCTTTTTCACTTGGAAAATTTACTATTACCACTGAGTACGAAAGTAATACGATGAACATGAATCGATCATTCACTAATCAGCTTAACGACAAACTGAAAGTCAAACATTACACAAATCTATACGGTATAATAAGAGGAGCAGCTACACAAGCTGTACACCACTATGAAAATCAAACACCTATATTTACACAATCAAGATACTCATTAGTACAACAAACTTACAGAAAAACTACACTGCGTAAAGCACAAACAAGAATCACAGCAGTTCAAAAAGAGCAAGTAATCGGCAGCTATAGAGATATTCGCAATAAAAATTACGACTATGATAATTATAAACAAAATACTATGCCACTACCTCAATTCGTAGAAGAATTCAAGCCAGGTTGGGCAAATGAATATTAGTCAAACGTCCAAGACCAAAGTACATTACCGCCACATTACACTAAAAATTTTAATTATGAACGTGCAATACATAACACATTGTCATTACTAAGTTACTTTGCAACGAATGTACCAATATGATATGGCGATCTCGTTAAGTAACCTCTATTTGAACAAACGGTAAGAATGGTATCGTGTACTGTAGGTCCTTTATATGCAAAATTTTTCATAAATTCACTGGCAAGTTAATAGAAAGAAAGCAGCCAAATTCATACCACGCTTATCGCAGTTCTCATCAGTAGACGAATTTTTAGTAGAACTGAAAAATAGGTGTAGCAGCGTCGTTCGCGTCGGTACATTATTAGCAAAATTAAAAGTAGTGAAACAATACAAAAGCCAATTAGTAGATAAATACAGCTGCCACGTTTAGAAAGTATACGATATGTTAATATACGAGGATTATTTCGTGGATCGGGAAATGAGTACACACTGATTAATAGAAAATATGTATTTAATAAGAAAAAAGAAAACAACCTACACAAAGAGTGCCAAGCCGGCCACTCTTCATGCACACAACTGCATGCTTCGACAGACAGACGAGATCTGTCTTGCGCCCGCATTCGAGCACCGAGCGTCCGCATATATTATAATGGAATTTTCCGTTATTTGCTCTTATATACGTTTTTCAATGTATAATTTATTAATATAAATTTTCTTTTCTTATTTTTGTATTACTATAACAGAACTTTCCGTCAATACGATCACACATATATGTGTGTATATATACGTAGTTTATTTTCCTTACCACTTGAAGAAGGGGAAAAAGTGGAATAAGCGACTAAAGAGAGCCAAGCGAACGAACGTTGATACAGCACGGCAGTCTCAGTGGTACGGTGGCACTGAGAAGTTGGGCTAGTACCCTAACTCTCTTAGTCCATCCTCTGTGACTCTGCCGAAAGCTAGATATTAATCATAAGATTTATATGTTCATTGATTTTGATATGATGCATGATACAATTGTAATAAATCTATATTTAGTTAATAAATTGATGTAAACATAATTTCGATTCATCGTTATTTTTTTATTGGCTTAAGTTATTAACAAATGCAATTGTCGTAAGGACGGGCTTCAATCTCAAACATTGAAGAAAGCCTTTCCGATTGCATTTCCCTTCCTCATCATTTAGCGATACGAATAAACAACAGATACACACCTAAGGAAGATAAATCGTCAACTAGTGTCACCATCTAGTATTGTCTCATGCGAATGGGAGGATATCTATTTCA